CTGGCTTAGATGGCCTTCCTTTAGTGAAGAGAGAGTGAGAAATAATGTTAGCCAAAGCCTTGGGACAGGAGTATCAAGGCCTGTCCTTCCTTACTCTTAGCCTCTGGACTGGAAAGAAGCATTGACCTTGAATGCTAAAGTCAAGAGACCCAGGGATCTTCTAACTTCGCTGTCCAGAATAGTCAACACCAGCTACATATGGCTATTGAAATTTAAAATTCAGTTCCTCCATTGGACTAGCCACATTTCAAATGCTTAGTAGCCATATGTGGCCGGTGGCAACCATGTTTATTAAACAGTACAGAATTAACATTTTCATCATCACAAAAAGTTCTCCTGGATAACACTGTTCTAAGAAAAGTGATTCTTTTCAAACTATTGAGTCTAAGGGCCCCTCTGCACTCTTAAAAATTGAAGACCGCCCCCCAGAGAGCTTTGGTTCACATGGATTGTACCTACTGACATTCACTGTCATGTAAATTAGAACTGAGAGTGTTGAATATTTAATTCATTTTTAAGGTAACAATAACCCATATTAACATTTTATGAAAAATAATTATCTATTTTCCAAAACAAAAAATAGTGAAAAGAATGACATTGTTCTTCATTTTTGCAAATCTGTCGTGTCTGACTTAATTGGAGGCGGCTGGATTCTCATATCTGCTTCTGTATTCAATCTGTCATGTTATCACTTATCTTTTAGTGTCTGGAAAATGTCACAGCCTACTCATGAGACAAAGAAAGTTAAAAAGGCAAATCATGTCTTAGTGATATTGTGAAAATAGTTTTGACCCTGTGGATTCCTTGAGAAGGCCTCAGGATCCCTGGACCTCACTTTGAGAACCACTGTTCTAGAACAACCTCCACTTAGCATGAAAGAACTAATCCTTGAGAAATGGAGCAATCTGCCTAAAGTCACACAGCAAATAAATTGCACTGTTGGGACTATAAGCCAAACCTTCTGGCCTGAGGCTTTTCCAGTTCCCTTGGCCAGGCCAGGATGGGCCTACTGGACTTTTGGGAGTGGGGCTAGGCGTCTTGGCTGCAGATCCCCTGGCATGCGTCCCTGTAAATAAACCCACTGAGTCTGTCAGAGCCCCTTCCCTCCCCACCCCCAGCAGCTGCTTTTATTGTTGGGTGATGGTGTGAACAGGGAGCAGAAAGGATCTGGGGAGGAGAGACAAAGGGTATCAACATCTATAAGCCTTTTGGGCTCATAGCACCCCTGCCCTTCCTCCTGCCCCGACTGACCTGCTGTCAGTTTGAAAGAACCTCCACCATGGTCTGGAGGTTCTTGGAGTGCCTGTGAGGAGGAAGTTGGAGGAGGGGTGCAATGGGCCCCTTCCCCATGGACCCTTGCCCCTCAGAAGGGCTATTGTGTCCTGGGGCCAGTTGTCAGGAGGAGGAAAGGAAATTCTTGTCTGCCTCTGGCCCTGAGTGAGGCGGTGGGGGAGACCAGTGGGAATCCTTGGGGCTGAGAGATGCTTTAGGCCAGAGGAAGGAGCCACTCTCAGACTAGGAATGCCCGGGGCCTCAGTCCTTGTTTTTTTGTGTTTTTTTTTTCCCCCTACCCTCAGCCCAGGGCAGATCTTGTCTAGAAAGGAGTGTTGCTGTGGATGAAGAAGTTGCTGTTTACAAGTAGACTCCTGGGTGTGACGGGGATTCCAGAAAGCAGCTGGGGGATGGGGGGAGCAGAGGGGGAAACGCTTGTATTACACAGACGATTCTGTTATTAAAGCCAATTCCATCTCTGCCTTCCCACAGCTGCCCGCCCCTCCCCCACCTCCTGGCCCCTGGCTTTGTCCCTAGAGGACTCAAGGGGGGAACAGCTGGTCAGTGAGGGGCTCATCAGGGCCCGGAGGCCTTGGCTAAGGGCCAGGGTGAGGGAGCCTAGAGGACCAGCTCGCTGCCATCTCTCTGACCCCTTCTTCCCAAGCCTGGACTCTGAGATTACAGAGGGGTCTTCTTGCCTGTGCCCTGGCTGGAGAGGGGTTGGGAGCTGCAGGCTCCCCCTCCTTGATCTGGCTGCATGAAAGGCCAGGACAGTCTTTTTGGGGGGTTGCCCAACTTGTCTGACCAGGCTGAAGAGATGAGCGACCACCCAGGTTCCCTCAGTCATTGGGCTGCACCTGCCCCTTCCCTGGGTTACCCAGAGAACCCCTGAGCAGCTGTTCCCCCTTCGCTGTCTGCTCTGAAGGAGGGCCAGAGAGGCCCTGCTCTTCCTCTCCCTCCCTCCCCTCGGCACTGAGGTCACCTCCCTCTGAATCAGGCCTTTGTGGAGGGCGGGGTTGCCCGTTGGCAGTTCTGGCGGGAGAGCCTCCCCATTCAAGTTCAAGCTCCCACCCGCTGCAGCTCCATCCCTACCCAGCTGGGCCAGCGTCCTGTGTTCCAGACCCACAGCGGACACCCAGGATATGTTGTGGGGCCCCCAGAGGAATGCTTGAAAGCAGGGCCATCCCGAAAAACCCAGGCCAGGGGTTTTCCTGGGCTCCAGATGGGGCTGAGCACAGAAGCTGTGAGTAGCAGTTGTGGGCCTGAGGGTGGACCAGGGTGCTTGGCCCAGGGGAGGGGACCCTATTGACCCTGCAGGGACAGCCACTAGGGAACTGACCTGGATTGTCTGTTTTTGTTTTTTTTTTCCCTCAAGAGATTTGGGTAGAAACCTCAGACTCTGAAGGGCCAAATTCCTAATTGGGCTCAGTTTGGGAGCTAGAGGTGGTATTGTCGCTCTGGATCATAATTTTACCCAGAGGAGGCTAAAGATGCAAGAAGTTTTCAGTCTAGAGATCTTGAGCCCAGACTCACAGCACGCACCTCCCCAGCGCCAAGTTTAAATGCAGGCCTCTTCCGAGTGACTCAACAATCCGGGCTGACAGCTTCCTGCCCTCATCTTGTGGCCATGCAGATGCACAGAAGGCCCAGCGTCCGGAGTTGGCCAGACTACTTGGGCTGAGGGCAGAGAACTTCTCCCCGAAGTGGGACTGAGTCACAGCCCGCCTTCAGCCAACGTGTCTGGAGCCTCTCCCAGGCCCTGCCTGGACCCCGACACTGACGCCCTTGACAAGCTGTTGTGCCCCGGTGGCTTGTCCCTTGGAGTGTCTCCCCCAGGTCACAATGGGACTCATGCCTCCCTGCCTTGGGATTCCCGGGGGCTCAGATCCAAGGCTGGTGGTGATTGTCTTGGTGGGTCCCCACCCTCCTCAACACATACACAGGCCTCATGCCTGACCTGGATGCTTTTTCATTCATTTGTTTATTTATTTTAGCAAAAGATACCCTCCTAAACCACCTTCACCCTTAGTTTGGTTTCTGTGGTTGTATGAAGAAAACAAAAACTGGAGGTTTCTACCACTTTATCTTTCCCTTTTGTGGCCTCCGGACACAGCCCTGTTCATCCCACTCCCCTCCTTCATCCTCCTGTTTTTTTCTCACCCTCCCAAGCACTCCCTTCCCTGCCCCTGCCCTTCTATTTCTGGAGGTGTCCACTGGGGACGTAAGTGATGAGGAGGTCGAGGGGACGCTGGTGACCTGTGGGGACAGGCGTCTCCTGGAGCAGGGGGAGCCCCTGCCTGGCAAGAGGATGGTGGCCCAGGGATGAGTGACGCAGGGTGGGCTGGAACTGGTCCTCCAAGGCCTGTTTTGGTTTTAACCCCTGTTTGTGTATGTGGGAAGGAGGCTTTTTCCTGAATATTTTTCATTTCTTTTGAGGTCTGTCCATTCCTAAATATAGCAAGCGTGATAATGTTATGAGCAAACAAAGTTATAACTCAATACATTTTTATGATGTTAAAATAACAAAGGACTTTAGATTGTGGTGGAGTGTCAAAAATAAGCATTGCACAGTTTTTCCTTTCTCTCTAGTTTTAAGAAGCCCCCTTCCCATTGTTGTGCACATGCTTGTTTTTTCTCCTTCCCCACTCCACCCCCACCCAGAAAGAAGCCTTCTCCCCTTCTCTCCCTTTCTCTTTCTAGAGTATCAGATAGAAGAGAGTGAGGGCTGGAAGGCTGCCAGGAAAGGGGTCGGAGAGGAGGAAGCCCCTACAGGCAGAGCAGAGGGGCAACACTTCAGATCTTCAGGAGCCCCTCCTTTAAAGACCCCACGGAGAGGGACCTGGGACTTTAGGGTCTGCTTACAGGTGAACTGCTAGAGTGAAAAGCCTTCATTTATGGGAGTCCATGCAAGACTGTCTACATACATTGTCTCACTTCCTGCTCCAATAGCCCTTTGGACTAGGTATTCTTATCCCCATGTGAGGGATGAGGAAACTCATTTTGCTGAGTCAGCTTCTAACCCAGGTCTGTCTGACTGCAAAGCTCTGGGAACACTGAGATTAAGTGCGCGGAGCACAGAGGACGTGGATGTACAGAGAGGCTGTGTAGGAGGGGGCCCAGGCCTGCCCACTGTGCTCTGTGAACCAGCCAGATGGTGTGGGCAGCATCCTTTGTCTCTGGAGCTTGCTTCAGAGCAGGCTGGCACCTCCCCCCATCACCCTCCTTACAAGGTCGAAAGGAGAATCAGATGTGATCCATGACCCAGGAGAACATGCCAGCATGCAGGATGCACTCGAGGATGCAGGTGTAGCTTCCTTTGCCTCAGTTTCCTCATCTCAAATATGTGTCAGTAATAGCACTTGACCCCCTTTGTGGTCGTGAGGATGAAAGAAGATGACGTATGCTGGGGAAGGGCTGGGTTGCTGTTCGTTCCCCTCTGGCTGAGAGCTGGGGCCATTTGCGCTGCCTCTTTCCTCTTCCTGGAAAGCTTTTCCCATTCCAGGATTTCATCTGCCCGTTCATGCAGTTAGGTCTCTGCCTCGCTGTCACCTTCAGCGCCTTCTCAGGACCTGATGTCGGTTCATTGGCTTATCTCTGGTACCACTGCCAGTCCCAGTAGAATGGAAGCTTCATACGGGCAGGCTTGTTTATTCCTCTGGTCCAGGATGCCAGGCAGCAGGAAGCCAGTAAATGCACGGCTGACCTTGTCTCCCTCTGTGTCTCCACAGGCAAGGTGACCATTCTGGCTGCGTGTGTGAGTGTGCCAGCCTGGGTGAGGAGGCAGAGACAGGTGAGGGGCTTTGGAAACTGGGAATGCTAGTGGTGGGGACTGGAGGAGGGCTGGGCTGGGCAAGGCAGCCTCTGTGCTCCACAGGGGAGGGAGGAAGGAGCGTTCAGATGCCTGGTAGGTGAGCTGCTGCGGGCTCCTCTTCCTTGGTCCAAAAGCGCTAAGTCCTTTTTGTGGGAGCTTCATTGGGTCAGGGAGGCAAGTAGTTGGTAGTAGACTGGGGACCCCTACCCTTTTGCATCAGGAAGGGTTTCCCATCTACTGGAAATTTCAACAGTGTTTGTGCAGAGGAAGGAAAGGAGTACTTTCCTCTAGCTGAAAAATTGAAACTCAAATGGAAGATGAAGACTAGTCAAGGAAAGCCAGTCATTATGGCAACAGTTTGAAGTAGGGTGGGATCAGGGATCACATAATGTGATAACAGGTCAGAAACCTGGCTTGGTTATGTTCAGGCAATGACAGACTAGTCTGTTTAGCCATCAGTCGGGCTCTTCCATACCAAGTATCACATCGGGTATCTAGTCAGTGAAATGAGGACAGTGTCCCTGCCCTCGCAGAGTTGACAGTCTGGGGGGACACTTACAGAGCTGAGTAAGAGGAATACCTAACTCAGCCTTGGAATGGGTGCCCTGGAAAATGAGTAGGAAGGAGCTGGAAAAGTGGAAGGGGGATGGGTATCAAGAGACCGCTGCAGATGGCCCAGCGTGCACAGAGGCTGGTCCGCTGGGGCCTTGCCAGAGGCAGGGAGGCTTGGAGGCCTGCAGGCCACCTCCCACTCTGCCAGGAAGATACAGAGTGTCAGTTTGAGACCAACCTCAGCAGAGAATTCAGGTTTCTTGGCTCCTGGCCAGTGTCTGTGTGCAATCTGTAAGAGGGCAAGGGCAGTCATAATAGTTTATAAAAACAGTGGTCTCTGTTCTTGAGATGGAAGAGCCTGTCTATGTGTCTGTCCCACGAGCAGGAATCTGAGCCTGACCTCGAGTTGTTACAGTGTCCAAGGCACAGGGGTCACACGGATGCCAACTCCGGGAATACTGACAAGTTCTGTCTCTGTCCTCCTCCTCCTCCACTCACCTCCCTGTGCCCTGGAGTAGCCTGCCGGGGCTTCTCTCACTTATCCCCAGGGCCTGATGTCGGAGGCCATGGACCAGTCGGCTGGGAGCCCTGGAAACCTGAACCCAGGAGAAGGTGGTGATGGCAGCACAGAGCCGGGCACCTGCCAGGAACTCCTGCACCGGCTGCGGGAGCTGGAGGTGGGGCACGGGGCAGGTTGGCCGGGGCCCTGTGGGCTTGGGTGGGTTTGGAGGTGCGGGGCAACCTTCCTCTCAGCCTGCTTTTCCAGGCTGGAGCAGAGCTGAATGTTTCTTTAGCAGAGCCCCTCTGAGACGCCACTTCCTTACTCTTAGCTCTCCAGACTTCATGCCAGCTCAGGACAAGAGGCGTGCACAAGAGTGGGGCTGTACTAACCCCCAGATATCTCCCTTTACCCCACTTTCGTGCCCCGGCTGTAGGAAAGGGGTGGCCACAGAGGCCACAGAAGGAAGAGTCTCAGGCATTGAGGGACAAGGGCATGGATCCGTGAGCTAGGCTTTTTACCATGTTCCTAAGACCCTGCCCTCCTCCCTCCAGCCTCCTCTGCCTTCTCCCCAGGGAAATAAGGGTAACTTTTAGCACTTCCCACCTTGGTGCTCCTGGCCACTGTATCTCCCCAGCCCCTCCAGCCCCATGGACTGAAGTTGGGGTACAAAGGACCAGCCATCTCAGCTCTGCCTCCTGGATACCCTGGGTCTCAGAGGCCTCACCCCTGACAGAATCACCCCGGAGCCAAGAGCTGGGGCAGGGAGAGAGCTACTGGACTCCTTGCCTCTCCTTCCCCTGCCCTGGGGAAGAATGATCGCTTAGCCTCCCATTTACTCTCCTCCCTGCAGGCAGAGAACTCAGCACTCGCCCAAGCCAACGAAAATCAGCGGGAGACCTACGAGCGCTGTCTGGACGAGGTGGGTGGACTGATACCACATGTGGGGAGCATAGCTTGTCAGCTCCACACAGAGACTCAGTCAGCTGACAGCTTTTCCTCAGCTCTGCCTTTCTCTCCCCAGGTTGCCAACCACGTGGTGCAGGCACTGCTAAACCAAAAGGTAAAAGGCCACAGGAGACATTCATACCCCCTGACCTGAGCCCAGATGCCCTGGGAGGAGGCCCTGGGGACAGCAGGGGAGGTCCTTCCTGGGGCCCCCGAGCCTGCTTAGCTAGGGGATCAAGGAAGGTGGAAATGGCCTCTTGGCTCTCCAACAGAGTCCCCTTTCTCTATCTTGGACAGTCCATACTGTTTGACCTGGAACCAGGGCCACACTAGGTAAGGCCAGGTCTCCAAGCGATAGTAACTTTGATTTGGGCTTGAATCCTTCCATTATCTAGGTCCCAGCTAGTTTCTCCAGATCACTCTAGCCCTGATAGCAATGTTGATGTTGTGAGCATAAGGTGACATCTAAATATTGCCTTAAGTACTGTGGGTAATTTCTTGACATGTGGGCTACTCTGACCCCCGAGTCTTCCTCTGCCTTACATGAGCCCTTCTTTGATGTGTGGTTTCTAAGAGGCAGAGGATTGGCTCCAGAGATGAGAAAGCTGCCAAAGGGAATGGAATTACTTCCGACCAGGAGTGGTAAACTTTAGAAAATTTACCATCCCCAGAAGATGCGAGAGCCATGAATATAGGCAGGCTCAACTCCTTCATAGGAGGTTGCAAGAGAAACGCATGCCCAGCAGGAGTGCCCACTGCTCTGATGAAGCAACTGTGCTCACTCCACTCTCCCTCTCCCCACCACCTTCCCTTCTTCTGCCTCCTGGGGGCGGCAGGACCTGCGAGAGGAGTGCATCAAGCTGAAGAAGAGGGTGTTTGACCTGGAACGGCAGAACCAGATGCTGAGCGCCCTGTTTCAGCAGAAGCTCCAGCTGACAGCGGGCTCCCTCCCTCAGGTGGGCACACGCAATTCCCCCTCCTTCCTCACATCTCAGCCTCCTAACTCCCAACTCAGCCCTGTCGTCATCATCACCCCCTCTTCTCCCAGACACCTACAGAAGCAGGTTGTCAGCCATTGGCCTCCATTCTGCGCACTGTGGCCTTCCAGGGCAGGCCTACCTCACCTGATAGATCTGCGCCTTAGGTGAAGGGAAACTTCCTAAGACTCCTCAAGCTTTGCTGTCCCCCACCTCCCAGGTGCTGCCCACCCAGCCAGTTGGTGTCCCTTCTTGTTGACAGAGAGTCCTGGCTTCCTCCACCCTGAGTAGAGAGATGGGTGGATGCTGAAAATGCAGTCATTTCAAGCTAGCTCCCGCGAGGCCCCTTTGGCCACTGCCTTTCCTCTTCTTGGCCAGGGGCAGGGGTGGGGCCGGGTGTAAGGCACCCAGGGCTTGGTGTCATGGAGAGGTTAGGGAAGGCCCTTCACCCGGATGACTCTGCGCACGCCCGGCTGCATCTGCGCACGCCCGGCTGCATCTGCCCACCCGCTGACCCCGTCTTGGCCACAGACACTCATCCCTGCTTCCAGCCCTGACACTTGCCCTATCCCGGGAGAAGCAGGAGGCTAGTGGTAGTGAACCCTGGGCTCAGTTAACATGTAACATGGGGTCCACTCTGTCTGGAAGCCCCGATGTGGTGTGTCTGTGGGGAATCAGGAGCAACTCCACGTACCTGAGGTGCACAGTGGGTTCTGAGGTCAGCCAGCACACCCCCAGCCCACCCTGACTTGACAGGAAGAGAAACACCTTGTGTATGTTTGTGTCTAAATTTATATGTCTGGGATACAAACCAGGCAGCCCTCGGCCCCCCAGACCCTGAGCAGGATGCCCTCAGCTCCCTGGGAAGCCTGACCCCTGGCAGATTCATCCCCAGGCCGGTGCAGGCTTGGGTAGCTGAGCTGCAGTGACTCTGCCGCTTCCTGTCTCCTGCCCTGGCCCTGTCATGGGCTGACCTGGAGGCCAGACCACATCGGCCAAGCTCACCCTGTCCACACTCTTCTCAGTGACTGATGATAACAGAGGCATAGATCATCCTGAAATCGTTTGTTTTTAGTAAATGAATTCTGGGATTCGAGTTGGAGATTTTTTAATGAATTTTGGGGTTTGGGACCATAGATTTATCTTCCCCAGAAGTAACATGACATAATGGAAAGAGTACGAACCTTGGCCTCAGATAAACTTGGGTTGGGTCCCTAACTTAGCTAATTCTTAGCTGTGTGACCTTGGGTAGATTATTTAAACATACAGATCACAGGTTTTTTTCCTTTATAAATGGGGATAAAAATACCTATATTGCAGGCTGTCGTGAGGGTGAAATGAGATAATATCTAGTGCTTGACCTGTAGTAGTCAAAGATTAGCAGCTAGTTATCATTATTAATGTTATTTCCAAATTGTGCTTTGCTAGGATGGAAGCTCCATTGAATGAATGCTAATTAAGCTCTTACTGTAAGCAGTGCCTTTGCCAGCACACAGGGAACTGGAGAGAGCTGGGGCTTCTGGACACTAAGGCAGGGCTGCAGAGAGTGACAGTGCTGACCAAAAGCCCAGGGAGGGGGAGAGGCCATCAGAGACAGGCTAAAGAGCATGCCCTGAGGAGGTGACTGTGCCCTGATGATGGGAGATGTTTACTTTTTTATTCTAGTTTTGTTTTATTCTTATTTTTATTTTTTGACTGCACCATGACACTTGTGGGATTTTAGTTCCCTGACCAGGGATTGAGCCCACACCCTCAGTACTGAAAGCAAAGTCCTAACCATGGACCACCAGGGAATTCCTGATGCACAGGAGATTTCAAAGAGTACAGAAGGGGTCTGGGAGAAGGGGTGCCCTGTGGGAAGAACAGAGCAGGGGATCCTAGGGAGCTGTTCACCTGGACTTGAGCAAAGCTTGTGTAAAGAGAGAGTGAGACAAAGCTGGGGACTGTGTCAGGGAAGAACCGGTAGATCTGGCTATAATGCCGACCGAAGAGTTCAGACTTGTCAGTGGAGGCAGTGGGCTGGCAGAGGAGGCTGTGAGCACAGAGATGCTTTAGACAAAAGAGAGATTGGAAAGCCACACGGTCAGGTGAGTGAGACTGAAATGCTGAGCAGCTTTCAGGCCAGAAATGTGAGGATGGCACACCAAAGGAGCTGCTGCAGATGGCTTGGCTGGAGGGGAAGCAGAGACATCACAGAGACAGGACTTAGCTGTGGCGTGCAAGAGGCGGGGGAGAGCTGAAGCCGACTTGTATCTCATCAAGGTGCCTAAGAGAAGAGGAATGAGAGGGAAGGGATCTGTGATTAAATACAGCTTTGGTAATCCTCCAAGCGGAGGCCATTCAGGGGAGATGGAAGTAGTAACTGCCACCATCTCTATTCCAGGACCCAGTAAACAACGCTGCTTCCGTTAGTCTCAGCCATTCCTCTGGAGGCTGGGTCACAGGTGATCAGAACAGAAATGGGCCTCGAGGCTCACCCTGTCTGTAGTCAGGGAAGGGGCTCCACAGAAAAGCAGAGGATCAGGACTTTCCTGGTGGCCCAGTGGCTAAGACTTCATGCTCCAAATGCAGGGGTCCTGAGTTCGATCCCTGGGCAGAGAATTAGATCCCACATGCTGCAACTAAAGATCCTGCATGCCACAATGAAAATCAAAGATCCTGCCTGCTGCTGCTAAAACCCAGCACAGCCAAATAAATAAATTAAATATTTTTTTAAAAAAAAGAAAGAAAGAAAAGCAGAGGATCTTGGAGGCTCAGCGGACAGCCGGGTTAGGCCTGCCACTGCCCTGCGGCCCCTGGAGCACTCCTCTTTCTCCAGAGCCCCTTGCCCGGTCCCACCTCCCCACCCCACCACCTGAGCTTGCATTTCTTCAGTCTACCTGTGCTGGGGTCTCCCAAGGTACCTCTGACCCAAGTGGTGAAAGCCACACCTTGGACCAGGACACATCACTGAAGGAGCAGGGAAGGATGTTCTCCTGCCCCTGGATGGGAAGCCTCAGCTCCCTGAGGGCACAGGGCCCTGGGCTGTCAGCACATGTGCTAACCTTGCCTCTCCCCCCTGTAGATCCCACTTGCCCCACTCCAGCCGCCTTCAGAGCCACCGGCCTCGCCCTCCCTGAGCTCCGCCGAGGGACCAGCCACCTCGCTGCCTCTGGGGCGCTGCGCTGGGCAGAGAGAGGTAGGAGGGCTGGGCTCTATGGTCTGTGGCTCCACTGGCAGTGGGCTCGTCAGCTGGTGCTCCACGACTGTCTCCTAACAAGTCTCAGGGGAAGGACTGCCTCCGGGCACACAGATTCTCATCCAGGCTGGGTGTGAGCCCTCAGCTGTCAGCCTCGTACCAAGAAAAACAGATCCCCACCCCTGACTGCTGGCCTTGTGAGTAAAAGTGTTAGTACTGCAGGCAGACTCAACAGTTAACACTTCTGAGCTCTTACTGTGTGCCAGGCATGGTGCCGGACACCTGGACCTCATTTATCTTTTTCCTTCTTGGTAATTTTTGGCATACATTTATAATCTTACACGTATTTATTTATCCAAGTCCAATTCACTCATTTTTTTGTTTACTTGGTTTCATTCATCTTATTTTATGAGATTTAAACACAGTCACCATCTTATGTTACAGATGATACAGTGAAGCTTAGAGATTAAATGACTTGCTGAAAGTCTTATAACTAGTTAAGCAATAGACCTGGGTCTTGAACCCACACAGTCTGACTCAGGAGCCCAGGTAGTTAACCACTGGACCAGACTGGACCAGGCCTGAGAAAGGGCCAGGGAGAAGCAGGAAAAGGCTCACAGGAGAGTCGTTCCCAGTCTGCTTCCCCACGGGGATCAGCTCAGCAGGACAGCTGTCTGACCTGAGAAGGCCTGGGCTTGCCTGGAGCGACTGACTGAGGACTTGGCCACATCATATCCCCTTCTTGAGTCTGTGTTCTTTCCGAAACCTGAAAAAATGGATGGGTGTCCCTCCCCCGGGGCAAATGGAGATACCAGGGTTATAGATGGTGAGCCTTCCTGACACATACTGGTAGGAAGTAGCACTGGGATAACCAGGAAGGGAGGTAGGTACCCCCCTAAGTGTGCCAGGAAGGACAGCTGGGATAACCAGGACTCAAACTCTTGAGGAAACTTTCCAGCACATTCCAGAAGCCATCAGTTCCTTTTGGGGACACAGGCAAACCAGGCCAGCTCTGTTCCTGACATACTCGGTTATGCCAGCTCAGGTCCCAGGCCTGCACAGGGTTTCCTCCTCATGCCATTTCTCCCCCAAGGTGTGCTGGGAGCAGCAGCTGCGGTCAGGAGGCCCAGGACCCCCAGCCGCACCACCCCCAGCGCTGGATGCCCTCTCCCCATTCCTTCGAAAGAAAGCGCAGATCCTGGAGGTGCTGAGAGCCCTGGAAGAGACGGACCCCTTGCTTCTGTGCTCACCTGCTACCCCCTGGCAGCCTCCAGGCGAGGGTCCTGGCTCCCCGGAGCCCATCAATGGCGAGCTGTGTGGCCCGCCTCAGCCTGAACCCTCTCCCTGGGCCCCCTACCTGCTACTAGGTCCTGGTAGCTTGGGAGGCCTGCTGCACTGGGAGCGCCTCTTAGGGGGCCCAGGGGAGGAGGAGGGTGCTGGGCGGCCCTGGGGCCCTGGTAGGGGCTCCCCACAGGCCCAGGGCACTGGTTCTGGGCCGCCCTGTGTGCCAGGCAGTAGCTCCTCCTCCTCTTCTGATGAGGCCGGTGACCCCAATGAGGCCCCCAGCCCAGACACCCTGCTAGGGGCCCTGGCCCGCAAGCAGTTGAACCTGGGCCAGCTCCTTGAAGATACAGAGTCTTACCTACAGGCCTTTTTGGCCGGGGCTGCTTGCCCTCTCAGCGGGGACCACCCGGGTCCGAGGCAGCCATCCTCCCCAGACCAGGGGCCCCCACAACTATCCAAGTCCAAAGGCCTCCCCAAGTCAGCTTGGGTTGGGGGTACCCCAGAGGCCCACAGGCCGGGCTTTGGTGCTACCTCAGAGGGCCAGGGGTCCCTCCCCTTCCTCAGCATGTTCATGGGTGCAGGGGACACCCCCCTGGGCTCACGGCCTGGCCACCCCCACTCTTCATCTCAGGTGAAAAGCAAGCTCCAAATTGGCCCCCCTTCTCCTGGGGAAGCCCAAGGACCCCTTCTGCCCTCTCCAGCCAGAGGTCTCAAGTTTCTAAAGCTGCCTCCAGCCTCAGAGAAGGTCCCCAGCCCAGGAGGCCCCCAGCTCAGCCCCCAGCTCCCCCGGAATTCCCGAATACCCTGTCGGAACAGTGGCTCAGACGGCAGCCCCTCCCCACTGCTGGCCCGCAGGGGTCTGGGCGGAGGAGAGCTGTCCCCAGAGGGGGCACAGGGCCTGCCCACCAGCCCTTCACCCTGCTCCACGACCCCTGACTCTGCACAGCTCAGACCTCCCCAGCCAGCCTTGTCTGCTACACTTTCCCCAGGACCCACGGTGTCTCCTTGCTACGAGAACATTCTGGACCTTTCCCGGAACACCTTTAGGGGGCCTTCCCCAGAGCCACCTCCATCTCCTCTGCAGGTGCCCACCTACCCACAACTAACTCTGGAGGTGCCACGGGTCCCTGAGGTCCTCAGAAGCCCTGGCATCCCCTCCAGCCCTTGCCACCCAGAATCCTGCCCCTATGAGGGCACACAGGAGAAGAGTTCGGACAAGGCAGGCTCTGAGTCTCCCCATCCTGGCCGCAGGGCCCCAGGCAGCTCGTCCAAGAAGCCCAGCCAGGGGGCAGGACGGCGACCTGGAGATCCTGGCTACACGCCTCTGCGAGACAGACTAGCAGCCCTGGGGAAACTGAAGACTGGCCCTGAGGGGCCTCAGGGCCCAGAGAAGAATGGGGTGCCTGTCAGACCTGGCACTGAGAAGGCCCGGGGAGCAGGGAAGTCAGGGGAGAGCACTGGAGACACAGCACCCCCTGCTTCCAGGCCCCCTGAGCAGCCAGAAGCCAAGGGGGCCCTGCGGGGGGCAGTGGCCTTAGGCACAAGCAGCCTGAAGCAACAGGAATCTGGGCTCCTGGGGGACCCCGGGGCCCGAGTCTACTCTTCCCACTCCATGGGGGCCCGGGTGGACCTGGAGCCTGTCTCACCAAGGAGCTGCCTCACCAAAGTGGAGCTGGCCAAGAGCCGGCTGGCAGGGGCCCTGTGCCCCCAGGTACCCCGCACCCCTGCCAAAGTGCCAACCTCAGCCCCCAGCCTTGGCAAACCCAATAAGAGCCCCCACAGCAGCCCAACCAAGCTGCCTTCAAAGTCACCCACTAAGGTGGTGCCCCGACCTGTGGTCCCACCGGCCACCAAGGAGCCCCCCAAACCTGACAAGGGGAAGGGCCCACCCTGGGCAGACTGTGGCAGCACCGTGGCCCAGCCCATGTCCCCAGCACCTGGCCCTGCCGACCCAGGCCCAGGCCCTGAGGGGCGGGCCCCACACTCGGCCATTGAGGAGAAGGTGATGAAGGGCATCGAGGAGAATATGCTGCGGCTCCAGGGCCAGGAGCGGGCACCCGGCACCGAGGCCAAGCATCGGAACACCAGCAGCATCGCCAGCTGGTTTGGCCTTAAGAAGAGCAAGCTGCCAGCATTAAACCGCCGCACAGAGACCACCAAGGGCAAGGAAGGGGCCGGGGGCTCCCCGCTCCGGAAGGAGGTCAAGATGGAAGCCCGGAAGCTGGAGGCTGAGAGTCTCAACATCTCCAAGCTGATGGCTAAGGCGGAAGACTTGCGCCGGGCGCTGGAGGAGGAAAAGGCCTACCTGAGCAGCAGGGCCCGGCCTCGGCCCGGGGGCCCAGCACCAGGGACCAGTGCAAGCCTGGGGCAGGGGCAGGGCCAGCTGGTTGGCATGTACCAGGGTGCAGACACCTTCATGCAGCAGCTTCTCAACAGGTGAGAGCTGGGACTGGCTGACCGGGGCTCAGTAGTTGGGAGGCACTTTGCTCTCCACAGGCACTCTGGGATTGGGGCTGCCTTTCCTGGGAACTGGGACTTCCCAGAGGTCAAATGACATGGCACCAAATCTTCTGGGGGTTAATGGCCCAGCCCAGAGGAGGGGTAGGACCTCAAACAAGGAGCTAGGGATTTGTGCCCCAGCTGCCTTCTTCCCTGGCTGTCTGACATTTGGCTTGCTGAGACTCAGTTTCTCATTTGAAAAGAGTTACCAGTCTACGTTTCCCTGAATTGCCTCAAGCCAGGTGAGGCAGCCTGTCTGGGATCCAGCGTAATTAAGAATGCTAGTACCTAGCCATGGGCTAATGCAGGTCTTCTCCCTCCAGGGTTTTGTATCCTATAGAACAAGGAGGGCTCCCTTCCCTTTTGCCTTTTTGCTCTTGCCACAGACTCAGCAAAGGCAACTGTGGTTTAGAGAGGGGGTTGCTCTTGGGGTTGCTCTGTCTGGGCTAGGTAAGGCAGAATGTCTGCAGGAATCTGGCTGCAGGCAGAGTGTGCTTTGGACAGCAAGTGCATGCAGGGTCAGCTAGAGTAGGCAGGGTGTGTCACAGGTGGACCAGGATGTAACCATGTCTGTTCTCTACTGGGGGACATTATCAGAAAGGTCTCTAGGCTTGACCCTAGGTAGCTATGGAGGAGTTCTCCCATCACTGCTGCCCCTGCTGGCCCTCTGGGGTTTCCCCTGGGGTCTTAACCTATTCCTGGTGTCAGGAGAGTTAATGCCGGAAGCCAACAGGCATATGTCATCTTCCCCAGGAGCAGGGGGCAATAGGTACCTCTCTAGGCCCAGCCCCACTGGAGGAAGTGAGGCCAGAATGTGTGGGTGGGCCTGGGCCTCCCTCACTTCTATGTGCACTGCCCACCCCTAGGGTGGATGGCAAGGAGCTGCCCCCCAAGAGCTGGCGGGAACCCAAACCTGAGTATGGCGATTTCCAGACAGTGTCCTCTGACCCCAAGAACTCCTGGCCCGCCTGTGGGCCCCGAAATGGCCTGGTGGGCCCTCTCCAGGGCTGCGGAAAACCTCCTGGGAAGGTAAGTTCCTGGGGGTGGGGGGGTGGGCTGGGTGGAGACCCTGGCTTTGTGGCCCTGCCAAGTCTCTGACCTGGAGGGCTACCCTTCCCTGGGGCCGGAAAGCTGCTGGATGTATTTCTGGTCTCCAAGGAGAATGGGGGGGGGAGAGGGCCTTCTGAGGGCTAGCGGGTTGCCAGGACTTTTAGATCTGTACTCCAGGGGTCCTGATGGAGGGCGTTGGCATGGAGGAAGAAGGGGCTCTGAGGTCTCCTGTATCCCATACAGCCAAGCATCGAGCCAGGGAGGCAAGAAGAGATGCCCTCTGAGGACAGTCTGGCCGAGCCAGTGACCACCTCACACTTCACAGGTCAGCAGGGTCAAGGGCCAAGGCTGGGACCTGCCCCTCACCCCTTGCTCACTTTATTCCTTCCTATCACCTTCCTGTCAGCAGGTGCCAAGCCCCAGTGGGCACTGGGACTACACAGGAATATCTCCCTGTCACTTAGGGTACCTGCCCTGTCCTCTTCCCCAAGACTGGGGGGAGTGGGGCAGGGCAGGCAGGGACAACTGAGCCTGTGGAGCTAGAAGTTGTGTCCAAGGGTGGAGCCTGGATTGGGGCAGGAAGCCAAAAGAAGGCAGAGGGGCTGAGACAGCTGAGCCTCACATACCCTCCCTTCCCCTTCCCAGCCTGTGGCTCTTTGACTCGAACCCTGGACAGTGGCATTGGGACCTTCCCACCCCCAGACCATGGCAGCAGTGGGACCCCCAGCAAGAATCTTCCGAAGACCAAGCCACCACGGCTGGAGCCTCCACCAGGGGTGCCCCCAGCTCGGCCCCCACCCCTTACCAAAGTCCCCCGCCGTGCCCACACACTGGAGCGTGAGGTGCCCGGCATAGAGGAGCTGCTGGTGAGCGGGCGGCACCCCAGCATGCCGGCCTTCCCTGCCCTGCTCACCGCTGCTCCAGGCCACCGGGGCCATCAGACCTGTCCAGACGGTGAGTGCCTGGGCAGCGGGGTGGGCCTTTCTGGGAGCTCCGCCCACCACCCACCTTCCCCTTGTCCCCGGACAGATCCCTGCGAAGACCCAGGCCCACCCCCACCAGTCCAGCTGGCCAAGAACTGGACCTTTCCCAATGCCAGGGCAGCCAGCGGTTCCTCTGACCCTTTCTTATGCCCACCCCGACAACTGGAGGGACTGCCCAGGACCCCCATGGTGAGCATGGCGGAAGGGGAAAGGGAACAGCACTGGAGGGCAGCGGGGAAAGACGAGGGGTGAGGTACCTCCCTGTCCGGGAGGAGGACTGAGCGGTCAGCCCTTTGGAGGCCCACCCCCTGCCTTTTCACACCCGGCTTGGGGGAAGGGTTTCTCTCCCTTCTGGAACCTTGGTAGGAATGGCTCAGTCGCGCCTCCAGTTTGCTTCCTCTGCAGCGCCCCGCTCAGGTGGAAAGGGCCTCTCAGGAGGTGAGAGGTACTTGCTCCCGAGCCTGCCCTCCTTCCCCAGGCCCTGCCCATGGATGGAAAGCGGAGCCTGGAGCCCAGCCGCCCTGCCCCTGCGCCCCAGGGCCCGGCGTTTGGGGGCAGCCGCACCCCCAGCACATCGGACGTGGGCGAGGAAGGGAGAGTTGCCAGCGGGGGACCCCCGGGGCTGGAGACCTCTGAGTCTCTCAGCGACTCGCTCTACGACTCACTGTCCTCTTGCGGGAGTCAGGGCTGAGTGGCAGCGGCAGCGGCAGCCACGCCCCGCGCTGGAGGCAGAGACCACGGATTGGACGGCTCTCCTCAAGCCCCGCCCCCGGACCCCGCCCTGAAGGGACCAAGGAGGCAGATGAACCAGAGGGTGAAGGGGGTTCCCGGCACAGCCCACTGCCTGCCGCCGCCGCTGCTGTGGAGGAGATGACCGCTCTCAGCTCAGGGAGAGACCCCACCCTTGGTCCTTTCTCTCACCCAGAGTACGGCTCTTCCTCTGAGGGACTGGGGGTTCAAGGCCGCTGTGTCCCGGCCCCCACTCCCGCTTCAGGCTGAGCCATCTTGTGGTGCTGGGCTTCCTGCCCACCGGTCGTGCCATCTCCGCCCACCCTGGCGGCTCCCCTGCCTCAGCAGCCGCGTGCTGGTGGAGTTTAGGGGCGAGGGGTCACGTTGCCTTCTCTCTGTCTGCCCTGGTCCTCCCCGCTGTCTGGATGGTGCTGCCCTCTCCTGCCCCATATCTTTGGGGCCCATTTGTCTGTCTTTTTTTGTTGGTTGTTTTTATAGATATATATATATATATTAAAGCGTCTGACCCAGCCCCCACCCTCCCATCCCCACACTGCGGTTAATTTATCAGTTGTTAAAAACGCGGTTGCTCTGCTTCCAGCCTCTGCTTCTGCCGTATCCCTAATAAAACGTGGAGGACCTCCACCCCCACCCTGACCCCAGACTCAGCTTGTTCTATGGGAGGACTCAGGGGTGGATAGGCCAGTAGAGACCTCGTGGGCTCCAGGGCGCAGGACTCCAGGGCTCTGCCCCGGGAGCTCTTGTGAGGCCATTCAGTTTACCAGGGCTGCTGACCTGAGTCACCCTAGAATGTAACTAAGGGTGGGGGATCTGTTTAGACCTGGAGTGGTACCTGGCAGTGGCTAAATTCCCCTGGCCCAGGGCTTGGTCAGGAGGAAGGCTCTGCTGCTCCTCAGAAAGGGAGGTGGAGATGGTGGCTGTGGGCATGCACTCAAACCCTGGACATACCAGTTTGGGTGGGTATATAAACTGTAAGCTTCAGGGGCCCAGGGGTAAACAGAGTTAAGTGTCCACAGCCACCTGTTGTCATAGAGTGAGGCATGACTGAGCGTCTGACTTGCCACCTTCTAGTCCCTCCTCAGCCTTTGGGCTTGCCCCTATTTCGCCCTCAGATTTCAACCAGAAGTTCTCCTGGCTCTCAAATTCTTCCTTTAAGATGGGAAGGCCAGGAATGAGGCTTTGTGGAAGGGTCTAGGCTTCTAGGAGTTATTTCAGACTCCGGGATGTGAGAAGGCCAGGGGGTGGTTATGGCCCTCCAGCCCTTGGATTTCCTATTGGGCATAGAGTTGGACAGTAACCTGAAGGTGACCCAGGTGGCCCCAGCCCATCTCACATTGGCCAGCCAGGCTGGGCCTCAGGAATGCCTTCTTCTAGCCCAAGTTGAAAGGTGTGGGATGACTTGTTCAGAGCACCCACCAACCATAGTCAACACTCACTGCCTCCCCATACCATCTGTAGGCCACCTGAGCATTGGGCATGCTGAACAGCCCTGGCCTTGTGGATGGAACTCTGGACAGTTCATCATGGAGGTAGGGGGCTGTATAGTGAATGCACAGTCTGTGTTGGCACTCCAGGCTTGCCAAGCCAAGGTCAGGAGTACCTGAACAGGGAGCAGTGCTGGGCCGATTCACAGCTCAGTTCTACCACTGGATGCTGCCAAGCACTCTGACCAGCCCAAGGAAGGTTGGGAGGGAGGGAGGATGTCCGTGCCTCTCTTTATACTGACTCCTTCCAGCAGTGTCTGTTCAGCTGTGAATGGTCCAGAGAGCAGTGAAAGAACTTCCTATTAAATACCTACCATATTGCTAGCCTCCTGATTCATTTCACAGGGGAAGTTATTAAGGCTCAAAAACATTGAATAGATGAATTCCCTGGTGGTCCAGTGGTTAAGACTCTGCGATCCCAATGCAGGGGGCACAGGTTTGATCCTTGATCAGGGAGATAAGATCCTGAATGCTGCATGGCCTGTTCAAAAACAGACCATTCAGTCGTTTTCCAAGGCTGAGAAGTGATGGATCTTGGCAGGAGCAATTCCTTTTGGGTGTGTAACTTTGCTTTCTTCCGTCAGGACTTTAACCCTCTCCTCCCTTTTTAGCCTTGGAGCTCCCCTAATGGACAGAACTGGAGGGCATTAGACTGGGAGTCAAGAGACAGCCCTTGAGTCTGGTTCTGTGCGGAATGTTACATCTTGTCTCCAGGCCTTGGTTTTCCTTATCTATGGAAGATTGGGAAGTTGATTCAGACCGACTTTCCTCTTAGCTTTCTGCTTTTCCCACCCATCTCCCAATCTGGCTGTTCTCCCTGCTGTTTCCCTTAGTGGATGTCATCACTGAGGAAGTTAAAACGACTTAGAGAAGCATCAAGTCAGATGTCTTTATTTTCTTCAAATGTCAGCCGATCGCATTTTCTTATTCCCATCTCCGACTTCCAGGTATCCTTCCCACTCTCCCTTCTGCTTTTATGGGCTTAAGGATGCTATTACCAAGCTGTTGATCTCTACCTCTTGCCAGGCAGGCTCAGAGAAGTCTACATCCTTCTCTAACTTTTTATTTCTTGGTTTCTTAAGCCCTTTTCTCTGTGTGAACCTGATGGATTACCTCATTTCCTTGTTAGAATTGTTCGCCTACAGGATATTTATCCTATTTCCTTTCTGAGAAGGAATTTGGCATGGTGGGTTTAATTCTGGACTCCACCTCCGACAAGCTGAGATCAGGGGTCCATGCAGGTTTCTGTCACCAGAGTCTGCTCATTCTGCTGCTGGGCTCTGTCCTACAGTGTTTTCACATGCAAGGTGACCTCTCGGGCCCGGGGACAATGTGGGCCACCTGAGAAAAAGCTCACTGTCAGTCACCAGGACAGAGCAGCATCAGCCACACCTAGTACTTGGAGCCAGCACTTCCCTACCAGGCAGCTCCTCATTCCAAGTCCCCCAGTGTGCTGCTAAGGGCTGCCGGGCCCAGACAAGCCATCCGTGGCCCACGTGACTGTGTATGCCCTCCACACAGACAGAATATTCCATCTGAAGTAATTCTGTGGCAAGGGTTGAGTATGAGTTCAAGTGTTGAGTTCGAGACTCTTCCAGGAAACCAATTTCTCTTTGCCCTTGAATAAAAGATTTATCTAAAAGACCACTTGAAAAAATAAGTAAATAAAAGACCACTTGATCCTCACTATGGCAGAATACTTCATATCTGAGTTTGTAACATCTGCTTGCAGGATTAAGATGACCTCACTGTTTTCTCTGCGAACAATGGGTGAACACTTGCCTTACCATTGTATATGACCCTTTCTGCTGGATTTCCCAAACAAAAGAAACCCAAACCACCAGACTCCTCTTGTCCCCCACGAATGGCATCAACAAAAAGCCATGAAAAGACTCCAGATTCCACCTTTCTGGGCACCCTGCTTCTTATAAGAAATGTCTCAAAACGTTAACTGAGATTTTCTGTGGATTGCCGATGGTTTTTATTTTCTTCTCTACCCTTGTCTAGATTTTCTACAAATAGTATGCTTTGTTTTCCTTATCCAAAAAAAAAATTTAAAAAGAAACAACCATTCTCTGCAACAAATTCTAGGTATATAACCCCATTCTATAGTCCTGAGTGAGTTAATTCAAGCATATAAGTAATTTTTTTTTAAGACATGAATTTAAAGTAAATATAGGTGAGAATTTCTATGATCTTGAGGTAAGGAAAACCTTTTTTAAAACCTTTTGTAATCATTGAAGACATACAAATTAGAAAAATGCATGTTCGGGATTTCTCTGGTGGTCCAGTGGCTAAGAATCCACCTTCCAATGCGGGACATGGGTTCGATCCCTGGTCAGGGAACTGGGACCCCACATGCTGCAGAGCAACTAAGACCACGAATCTCAACTACTGAGCCTACAGTGCCTCAACAAAAGATCCCGCATGCCACAACTAAGATCAGTCACAGCCTGATAAAATACTTTTTTACGTGCATGTTCATGGTTTTAAAAAATAATTAAGGACTTCCCTGGCAATCCAGTGGTTAAGACTCTGTGCTTCCACTGGAGGGGGTGTGAGTTTGATCCCTGGTCAGGGAACTAAGATCCTGCATGCCGTAGGATACAGCCAAAAAAATAAAAATAAATTTTAAAAATCAAAATTGAATATACTGTCATGTAAGGAAGAGGAAGAGTCTCATATTCCAACTTCTAGTCTCACTGCCCAGATATAACCCAAGTTGACTGGAATTCTTTTCAAATCACTTTTTTTTTTTTAATTGTGTTCTTTCAGTCAACATTCTGAGGGCTTCAAGCCAACATCCTCTCAGATCACTCTAAGAGACAGCTCCCTCAAATCACTCTTTAAATGCACACTACAAAGAGAGAGTATATTTATGTTGATCTTTTATTAGACAATGAGATTATTCTAAAATTGCTGATCTGCTGCTTTTAGCACTTCCTATTATATCTTTCCAAAGATTAGATCTTTCCATAGATCATGACTCTCCATTATCATACACACTCTCCCATTGGATGGATGTACGATATTTACATGTTTTGCCATGACAACAATGCTGCCGTGAACATTGCTTATGTGTCCTTGGCCACTTGCATATTTCCATAAATTCCTATAAATGGAATTGCTGCACTATAAAATATGCTTAATTAAAATTTTTTATAGATATTAACAAATCACACTTCACCAACAATGTATAAGTGGGCTATCTTCCACACTGTGTATTATCAAACTTTATTCTTAGCCAATTTGGTAGGAGTAAGTGATCATGTCTGGTAGTCTTGGAGCCCAAAGTAGGAACTTTGGCTTTTACTCAGTGACGTGGGGAGCAATTAGAAAGTGGTAAGAATAAACTGTAGCGGGCAAGTATGGACATGGGCCAGTAAGGAAGCCTCTTGGGTAACTCCAGTGAGAGATGGGAGCCTGTGCCAGGGCAGAGGCACTATAAACAACAGGGTTTGCTAATGTAATTACGATGGGGGGAAAAGAGAAGAGTCAAGGACAGCTTTGACGTGCAGATGGCCAATAGGCACCTGAAAAGATGCCCAACATCACTAATTGTCAGGGAAATGCAAATCAAAACTACATCGAGGTACCACCTCACACCAGTCAGAATGGCCATCATTAAAAAGTCTATAAATAACAAATGCTGGAGAGGGTGTAGAGAAAAGAGATCACACTGGTGGTGGGAATGTAAGTTGGTGTAGCCATTATGAACAATATGGAGGTTCCTCAGAAAGCTAAAAATAGAATTGCTATGCAATCCAGCAATCCCACTCTTGGACGTATATCTGGACAAAACTATAACTCAATAAGATACATGCACCCCTATGCTCATAGCAGCACTATTCACAATAGCCAACAACCTAAGTGTCCATTGAGAGAAGAATGCGTAAAGAAGATATGGAATATACATACAATGGAATACTTCTCAGCTGTAAGAAAGAACAAAATAATACCATTTGCAGCAACATAGATGGAACTAGAGATAATCATACTTAGTGAAATAAGTCAGAAAGAGAAAGATAAATACCATATGATATCACTTATATGTAAGATCTAAAATATGACACAAACGAACTTAACTACAAAACAGAAACAGACTCACAGACATAGAAGATAGACTTGTGGTTGCCAAGGGGGAGGGGGAAA